CTGTTCAGGTCAGTTTTGGATATCGGGTCTGTTTGGGTCAAACACTTCAGGTCGAGTCAACTTCGGGTCGGGTCAGTTCGGGTGTCGGGTAAGGATCGGGTCAACTCCATTTTCGGGTCAAGTATGGGTCGAGTCAATTTCGGGTTTTGGGGGGTCAATGTTTTTGGGTAAATATTGAGTTATGGGTCGAAATATTCGGATCAGGTCATCGGGTCTGAGTTAGGATTGCCAGATCCCGTTAATACTGCCAAGTTCTTTCTGATCATAGTAACCTCTGAGTCCAACCTGTCCACGCTAAATATCTTTCGTCTAAGAGAGATCTCATTTTAGTAAAGACAAGTAGGTCCAATAATGATAGAAAGTGGATTGACAATCTACCACGATAGCAAGATGTACGCCTTCACTTACGCTTCTAATCCAAATCTAAACAGGTATATTGTCTTTTCCCTTCGATACAACTTTTTATAATACATCTTCAATTAATTTTATAACAAACCATTATATTTTAGTATTGCAGAACATTCACATGGAGTGGGCCCTCTGTTACACTATGCTGTTTTATAGGTTTTCTGTTTAATTTCTCAATCTATATTACGTAATTGTAACTTCAATTAGAATTAGTTTTTATTTTATTATATTAATTTGTTTATATTTTATGTTTAAATGGAGTTCAAAAATAAAAGGAAATGATCTGAGCTTGGCTTGGATCTACATATTCTTAATTTTGTTTTCCTGCAATAGGATGCATGCGAATATTACAGGTAGGTAAGCTTGTACATTCAACTTCTTCGAAAAAATAATTTTTTTGTAAGAAACAAGGATTTGGATCGTAAAAATAATGACAACTACAATAATAATATTCATAATAATCTATAATTCAAGACTTCAAGTTTTTAATCCTAGTGTACTGCTTTCATGCTTTGTTCCTTTAAAAAACAATAGTGGTAATATCATTTCTAATGCTCCGTAGTAAGCAATAAGAAGTTGTACCTTAACTTGCTACATTAAATATATCTAAGTTATACGACTCACGAGTAATAATTTTAATTAGATACAACATTACCCAATGAAAAGCTACAATAGCTCATAATATACAAGTAAATATTTATTTGATCTATATTCTTTTGCTGATAAAAAAATTACAAGTGTAGCTTGAATAAATATGCCCAATGGAAGCATGGTGCTTGTTGTAGCTCACCTGATGTTCCGTACACCTGGGTATACCTTCCTATAGGTACACCTAGAGGCATTTCTATAATTTCGTAGTGATTCTTCTATGTTACTGACGCGTGCTCAATAATCTCCCTTTTATACAATAAACAATTTTGCTCTCGTTACTATGTGTTCTTCATCATTTCTACCAAAATTTAGTAATTTTTACAAAAATTCACTCAATATTTTTACGAAACTTCGCACAAATAATTATTTTCTGTAAAGATTTATTTAACGATCTCATGATATTAAAGCCATAAATTATGAAGATTGAAACAAAAAAACCTTCAACAACCTTGGCATTAATGGTGAAATTGGTTTTATATTTTCAATAATGATCCAATTTAGACAACTGTTCATCAATCTTAACAACAATCTAATCTACCAGGTATTGATTTTTACATTCATTATTCGTTAATAATTTTTGAAAAAACAAAATTATTAAATTGATTTACATATCCAATGGCAGCAAAGTAAATTATGAGCGTATAAATTAATCTTGATTATTTAGCAAAATTCAAATGAGCAAATCCGTGAGATTATTTAAAGCGAATACGTGAAAGTTCGGATTATTTTTAGCAATTTTTCAAAAAAAAAAAACTGGTGTTATAGTTACACGTTAAATTGCAACATTGTACCTGAACAATAAGAATCAGTATACCAATATGCCAAAATTGCAGACAACAGAAACAAATTTGCCAAATTTGCAAATAGTGCAGTTGTAAGTATATAACTTGAAAGTACGTAGGTAGTATATTAGTTTTACAAATTCTTAAATGGACTTGGTTCACACAAATTTATTGTAGACAACTAACATCAGAGATACTATGATTGTTTTATTAATAAAAAAAAAAGTCACTACATTAAAATAAAGGTTATTATGTTGAAATAAAAGCGATTGTGACATTATAAAAGCTATAAGAGGTTAATTTTTTGGGATGTAAACAGAAATAACATTAAAGGTCACATAAGTTTTAATAAAGGTTACTATGTTAAAAAATAAGGATACTATGTTAAAATTACGGTCACTATGTTCCAAATAACATTAGTTTTGCGTGTATATAAATCTCAGGTCCACAATAATATTATTGTGGACCAGGTCCACGCAAGAATTTCTGATTTTCAGCTAATTGAATCACTATATAGAAATGTATAATTGTAGATTTATAGGCTCCTCTAAACTTTAGTGGCTTTGTCAATTAAAATGTTTTTAGGGGGCCAGTAAAAAATTTAAGCTTCGTACCATATCCCAATTTATTCCAAAAACTTGTTAAATGCTACTTCTCCATTTTTGTATGCATTTTTTCTAGCCACGGCACCCAATTTCTTTACAAAGAAAATACCAAACTTTCTCCCTAATAAATCCAAATTCTACAATAATTAAAATATAAATTATTGTAGAATTTATCAATAAAAGCACCAAATTAAATCAAGGGTTCCCAGATTTAATTTCAATTCAATTAGATTTCTATGTCAAATTGAATGAAATTTCTAATTGAATTGAAATTCATCACTTAACAAAAAAGAGCAGAAAGAAAAAAAAAATTATAGAAAAATATTTGTTAATTTGAGAGGAACAATATGAATTAAATACAAGAAGAAGTAAAATACCGAAGAATTTTTCTTACCACGTGCGAAAATAATTTGTAGGAGGTTATTAACTAGGGTTTATAGATGGACTATAAGATAGAGATAAAACTTGAATGCTATGAAAATTCGACGACATATGTAGTGGAGGCCGGAGGCGTTGGAGGCTAGATCATGGTTGAGGCTACATGTGGCACTAGCTAAGTCGTTACCCAGACGTAGCTGCTGTGATGTAAATGAAGGAATTGTGTTTTCGTCAAGTGCAACTACTAGATATATAATAGATCGAATTATGGTGATAATTAAGTTCGTTTCTTTAAGTCGTCGTTATATCATAACTAGAGGTAGTAACGATCTTTGGGCTAGTAAAATAGGCCAAAGCCTATTAGAACGGATCCTATAAAATCACACTGTGAGGCCATATTGATCATAAGAAGAATAAACCTCTCCCTCTAGTTGTGATAGCTAAAATGTACTATCACAACTAACAACTACCTCTACAGCTACATTTTTCCAAACACGCCTTATAAAAAGATGATATGCAGGGGATAAAACTACTCCCTCTATCACCTAGCATTAATTTGACGATAAAATGATTTTTTTTTTAATTTTTACTCTGTATACAATATTTATAACGTCGCCCTCATTTTACATACTAAAGCCCCCATTTTATAACTTAAAGTCTTAAATGGACAATTTTGCCCCCCTTCTCATTCTCACTCTTTTTCAACCATCCCTCTGAATTCTCCATTAAAAGTGGCTTATGAGCTTTCAATTTTTCATCCATTGAGCACATTATCATTCTAATTTATACAGTAATACACTATACATAATTCCCAAAGTATCATAACAATCAATATGACAAAATTAACACATAACAACGTAGGAGTATTCCCGCATTATATGATTGAAATTTGGCCCTCTAGAAAGTAGAAATCCTTAATTAACAAAAAATTAGGAGTTTAAAGTTTGTTCCAAATGTTGAAACTGGAAATTCTTGCTCCCATTGAACCATTTGTAAGAATTGACGGCATATCGAGAAGCTAGGTGGGGTGCGAACTAGGAATGGCAACGGATCGGATTCGGGTCGGATGCGGCTAAATCCGAATCCAATCCGTTTGGTAAACTAACCATGGACTCGGATTTCGAATCCGAAAATTCCGAATCCAACTTGTAATTTTCGAATCTGAATCCAGTACGCTTATTCGGACCTTCGAAATGATCCGAATATTTTTTATATTTTTTTTGTAATGTGTGATATTCCTATAATTGTTTGTATTGTCATACCGAGTAATCTATAATCAACATATTTAAATTATGAACTAAGTTACATAATAAAATTTTTCTATAAAACAAGCAAGCAATTTCGAGTTATTAAGTATATACTCATACTCAAAGTCGAATCCGACTCGGTCGGACTTTGCATAGGGTCCAAGTCCGATCCGCCTCCTATTCGGATTCGAATCTAATTTATCGGATTCGGGTTCGAACTAATTTCAAACGAATTTAGATCGGATTTTTTTCTTCGGATCAGATCGGATTCGAATCGAACTCAGATTAAATTGCCATCCCTGGTGCGAACTGTGAAGGAGTTTTTGATGGTGGCCGAAAAATGCCCAAAATTTTTGATACCCTAAGGGAAAACGCCTAGATATTTCGTAACTTGAAGGTGGAAACGAAAATCTAGGCGTTTCCACCCGCGAGTTACGATATATTTGGGCGTTTCTTAATTTTTTTTAATAAACAACTTCCGAAGCTCTGATGGTGGTGGTGGTGGTCCTGGTAGCTGTTGGTGTTAGTGGTGGTGGTTGATGAGGAGATAGTGATGGCAATGGGGTTATTGGTTGGTAGGGAGATGGTGGTGCTTCAATGGTGGAGTCCGTGGAGAAAGTCAGAATATGCTTCATTGAAGGAAAAAGCTCATAAGTCCACTTTAATGGAGGATGCTTCAATATAATGGATGAGAAAGCTCATAAGCTGCTTCAATGAGGAGAAAGCTCATAAGCCACTTTCAAGTTTCAATGGAGAATTAAGAGTTGCGATGAAAAAGTTAATAAATGTAGATCTAATCAAACGGCTTTGGTTAATACAACGATATATATCACCTAGTCCAACGACATTATTGATGTCGTTTTAGATTACTTACTAGTATTAATGTATTATATATATATACTTTAATTAAACAAAGGTAACAATAAATATAAATTTAAAATAAATAACTTTAATTATTCCAAAAAACACATTTCATCTACATTTTACATTAAAAATAAATAAGTTTAGGATTTACATTTTACATATGATCATAAATTATCCTAATAACAAAATTTAACCTAAAAAAACAATCCTAAAAACAAAAGGCAGCAACAATCTTGAAGCAGCAGCACAATACCCAAGAGCTGAAGAAATAGCAGCAGCAAGCAGGAACCAGCTCAGGTAACAACAAATCAGCAACTCAGCAGAAGCAGGCAACAATATAAGCAGAAGCAGTTTAGCAGGAACAACAACCAAAAGCAGATAAGCAGCTCACAAAACATCAGTTCAACCAACTTCAAATCTAATTTTTGTTTTTAAAAATTGCTCTGAGATTTACATTTATCGTATCATCACTGAGCAATGGTTGTTTTAACTTAAAACTTGAAAAATGCTGCCAGCAAGTACATATATATTGAAGTCTCAACATAAATGACAAGGGCAACGATGATTTAAGATAAATTAAAACAGCAAGCATAAGAAACAACAAGCATAAGAAACAGCAACGACAAAACTTATCATAAACACAAAAGGCAGCAACAATACTGAAGCAGCAACACAGCACCCAAGAGCAGAAGAAACAGCAGCAGCCTCAAGCTGGCAGGAGGCAGGAACCAGCTCAGGCAGCAACAGATCAGCAGCTTAGTAGAAGCAGGCAATAGAATAAGCAGAAGTAGCTCAACATGAATTGTAACCAGAAGCATGCTACAACAACTCATGCAGCATCATTTCATCCAAAATTAAGCGTCATTTTTTGTTTTAAAAATTGCTCTCAGATTTAAGTTTACAATTTCATCACCGAGCAGTGGGTGTTTTAACCTAAATCTTGAAAAATGCTACCAGCAAGTCTCAAAATAAATGACAAGGGCAACGATTTTTCAAGATAAAATAAAACAACCACAGTGAGGCAACAACAACAAGTACATATATAACAACAGCCACAGTGAGGCATGCATTAGCACATTAGCAAAAAAATCAGAACTTAAATGATTTAGCAAGCATGCATTAATATGAGTTCTACAAGTTGAAGTACCTTATCTACCAGGTGCTTTATATTCTTTGCCACAGAAATTACAACGAGCATATTCTACCTTTTCATTACCTACCGTCTTCAAAAAAATGTGTAATGCTTCCATATACCTGAGGTTCTTTGACGTTTATTACCATCAGTAGTGATAATGCTGGTATTATGAGCATCATCAATCGGGCCAGAGGGAGATTGAGAGCTCACACTCTCCATATTAGATGGCCTCTCACCCTCACTCCTCTGAAGGTCAAAATCATCATACTCATGACCATGACTACAACAGCATTTACAAAAAACAAATCAACAGTATACAATACATAGGGCAAAGCAACACAAATAGCATAACATAAAAACAATACTTTAAAAAAAACAGAATAAATTGAAATAAACAGAATAAAAAATAGAACTTAAAATCTTAATTACAGTCATTAAAAATCATTTTAAAATCGGAACTTAGAATATGTTTCGATTTGCTATTACGATTTCACACATTAGCAAAAAAATCAGAACTTAAACAACACTCCATTTGCTATTACGATTTCACACATTAGCAAAAAAACAAACCAAAATAAACCAGAAATTCAATAAAAATCGGAACTTAGAATATATTTCGAAACTTAGAATTAAAAGCAAGAGAAATATATCAAACTTAGGATAAATGAAAAAAAAATACCTTAACAGAAAAAACGTGAGCAAGTTAGTTACATATCTTAAAAAAAAAAAAAAAAAAAATCAGAAGTTAAATACAGATGACAGATCTTACATTCACAAACTGAAAATAAATTGCAAAAAAATAAGAGACTCAAAATTTTTTAAAACAGACAGACTCAAAATTAAGTTTCTAACAAAATAAAATTCTGATAAAAATCCTACAACACATTAGCAAAAAAAAAAAAAAAAAAAAAAACAGAAATTCAATAAAAACAAAACTTAGAATAAAAATCGAAACTTAGAATAAAAAAAATACCTTAGATAACCGTGAGTACAGAATAAATATGACAAATCTAAAAAAAAAAAAGAAGAAAATAAAAATTAGAACGTACAAAAATAAAAGCAGAAATTATAAATTGCAAAAGGATAAATGAACAAAAGAATGACAGTTTACAAAATGAATTTTCACAGTTCGCATAATGAAAATAAATTGAAAAAAAAACCTTAAATCAGGAAACGAAAAAATAGAACTTACAAAATAAAAAAATAAAAAAAAAATAAAAAAGATTGAAGGGGCGCCGTTTGCTGATCGCCGTTCAGATTTGTATGAGACAACGAGAGATTTAGAGGCAGTGGGAGAGAGAGATTCAGAGGCAGCGGGAGAGATGAGTGTAAAAGATTCAGAGGCAGAGGGAGAGATGAGTGTAAAAGATTTAGAGGCAGAGGGAGAGGGGCGCCTGTTTGAGTGGATTAGGGATTTATTGATTTAGGGTTACTTTGTTTTTTCTGAATGTTCATCCAGATCTAACGGTCCAGATGTTTTTTATTATTATTATTATTATTGTTATTATTATTAATGTTATTATAATTATTTATTAATATTATTATTATTATTATTATTACTATTACTACTACTACTACTACTACTAATACTACTACTACTATTACTACTACTACTACTAGTACTCCATCCTCATGGAGATTAAGGACCGGGTCTCTATTGACAAGCCGACTCCTATGAAAGGTTCCGCTAAAAATCGGAACAAAAACAAATACTACCATTACCATGAGGATATTGGCCACGACATCAACGAATGATATAGCCTCAAGCGGCTGTTGGACCGTCTGGCTGATAAAGGAGTCCTCAAGTCTTATATCTTGAGGTCCAAGGTTACCTTGCAGACTAACCCTGGACAGTCGTCCAAAAAGAAGCCCCACTCTGCTAATAGCTCGGATACGGATGAAACTCCGATCTATACAATAGCAAGCAGCTTCGCTGGAGGCGGCCCTACCATCCGGGGCAATAATCCAAAGCTGTTATCATCCCTTCTCTTATGCTTCTCAAGTTTGAGAGGGATGATGGAATAGTCGGCTCCCTATGGGGAGACCAGAAGATGGCCACGGAGAAGATGGCCACGGAGTGCTACCTCTCTATGTCAAACCCACTGTGGTCGCAGCCGGCCCCAGTGGAGAATTTACTGACCTTGACCAAGTCAAGGAAGTCGCGTCTGCTGCAACAGTAGCCGGCAAGAAGAGAAAGGCCAACCAAATGGTGGCCGAGAAAAAAGACAGGCAATAGCAATCACTGACCGGTCAAAGGCCGGATGAACTCCGTCCCCATTATTATTATTATTATTATCGAGAAAATTGCAGTATATAGTTTACCGTAATTGAGCTTTAAACGATTCTTACTTCGTTGTCACTTTTACAATTGTACTATATAATGGTTTCGTCACTTTCGTGACTTTCGTCCATTTAGCCTTTTAGGCTGTTTGAGTTAATAATCTAAATACAGCAACAAACTAATCCAACTATCTATATAATATAGTATGTAAGTTACGTAGTATTACTTATAAATTGTAAGAAATGCAAATGTTTCAAAATTGAAATTGATTCAATACGACATAGTTAATGTATATCAATATCTGACATCTCTATATGTATATATCGGTGAGTCTGTGACTGTATATGTAATAAACTAATAAGTAATAACTAATAAAGTAATAATAATTAACAAATAATAGAGACTAGAGAGTATGAGTAGATTAGGATTTAGTTTGGTAGGTAATACAGCAACAAACTAATCCAACAAACTATATAATGTAGTATGTAAGTTATTACTTATAAATTGTAAGAAATGCAAATGTTTTGAAATTGAAATTGATTCAATACGACATAGTTAATGTATATCAATATTTGACATCTCTATATGTATATATCTTTGAGTCTGTGACTGTATATGTAATAAACTAATAAGTAATAACTGATAAAATAATAATAATTAATAAATAATAGAGACTAAAGAGTATGAGTAGATTAGGGTTTAGTTTGATAGGTTTAGTTTTTAATGAAATCTAACCGTTGTTTTTCATGGGCATTCAATCTAATCGTTGTATATTTGTACATTAGTACTGCATAATGATTTCATCACCAATTTAGTAACTTTCGTCGATTTAGCCTATCAGGCTGTTTGAGTTAGTAATCTAAATAAAGTAACAAACTAATCCATTTAACCTCGTGTAACTTATAAATTATAAGAAATGCAAATGTTTGGAAATTGAAATTGATTCAATACGACATTGTTAATGTATATGTATATCATTATATGTGTATCTGTATATGTAACAAATAATAATATAAGGTACGAATGTACGATTGGTATCATACTATCATTGCCTCATTGAGTTATTGGTATGTACATACTACCTCCGTTTTTTTTATGTGCAACTTTGGCACAAGTTGCGGTTCACGAGGCAAAAAATTGAAGGGCAAAGATTAAGAAAATATAATGGTGATTAATATATTATAGGAGTATGTAATTAAGGTGGAGAGAGAATGTTTGGATAATTAACCAAACCACCCACTGCCACCACCAAGACCAGCCAACACCACCGTCGCCTTCACCAACACCATCGCCGGCTTCACCACCACCACTACCACCCCCACGAAACCACCACCACAACCAACCCCACGAAACCACCACCACCCTCACGTCTTTCCCTCCTTTTTCTGGCAGCCCCCTCCCTAACCAAAAAACCCAGAAATCTAATATTCCCCTCCACCACCAGCCCTAACCACCTCCAACACAGACCACCCCACCACCCAGACCCACCCCTAGACCACCCCACCACCCAAACCCACCTCTAACCCAGACCACCCCACCACCCAAACCTACCTCTAACCCAGACTACCCCACCAACAAGACCCACCTCTAACCCAGACCACCCCACCACCCACGCCACCAAGACCCACCCCTAACCCAGACTACCCCACCACCCACGCCACCAAGACCCACCCCTAACCCAGACCACCCCACCACCCACGCCACCAAGACCCAACCCTAACTCAGACCACCCCACCACCCACGCCACCAAGACCCAACCCTAACTCAGACCACCCCACCATCGTAGAAAACCCCTTAATCCTAACCCACCCACCACCCCTTAATCCTAACCCACCCCCTTAATCAAAACCCAGAAAATCAAAATTAAAACCCAGAAATACAAAATAAAACTCAGAAAATCGAAATCAAAATCCAGAAAATCGAAATCAAAACTCAGAAATTCGAAACTCAGAAAATCGAAAAAAAAAAACCCAGAAAATTCAAACATAAATCACCCCCTAAAAAAAACGAAATTCGATAACCAAGTTCCAAGCCCAAAGCAGATCCGGCTGAAAATTCGAAGAGAGAGACAGCAAATTCATCGGTGGTGGTGTTTAAGGGCCGTGGTCATGGGGAGCAGAAAGCCGGTGGGATGGAAGGTGGTTGTGAAGGAGGAGAGAGAATGGTGGTGGGAAGGGCGGTGGTCGTGACTCGTGAGGAAGGAGGGTGAAAGAGATGAAGAGATGAAGAGGGTGAAGGTGAAAGAGATGAAGAGGGTGAATGGGTGGTGGGTAGATTAGGAGATGAGTAAATGGGTGGGTAAAATTAGGTTAATGATTTTAGATTAGACAAAAAAGTTATTGTGATTAAAATAAGATAAGGGTAACATTAAGAAAATTAAAATTTTTAAGTATGAGTAAATATGTAATTTTCAGGGTTTTTGTTTACTAAAAATAGAAAGAAAATAGAAAGTTGCACATAATGTTAAGCGGACTAAAATGGCAAAAGTTGCACATAAAAAAAACGGAGGTAGTATAATCGATAAAAATATCTGATTATTAAAACTTAAAACACTTGTTGATTGATCTAATTGAATACTTGTACTTCCTTAATTATCGATTTATCGTATTCTAAGTATCAACTCATTAAATCATGGTCATGACGCGATCTTTAAAACAATCATGACCCAAACCGCTTATAAACCGAATTGACATTGACCGGGTAAAACCGTCCATGAACCGACCCGTTTCAAACCGATTCGATCATGACATAAACTGTTTACAAACTGAACTGGCATGATCCGAACCGTTTATAAACCGAACCGACATTGACCCGGGTAAAACCGCCCCTAACCCGGCCCATTTCAAACCGAACTGGCATGATCCGTACCGTTTATAAACCAAACCGACATTGACTCGGGTAAACCCGCCCCTAAACCGACCCGTTTCAAACCGAACCGGTATGCTCCGAACAGTTTATAAATCGATCCGACATCGACTCTAGTAAACCCGCCCCCTAAACGACCTGTATCAAACCGAACCGGCATGATCCGAACCGTTTATAAACCGATCCGCTTATGACCCAAACCGAATTTAAACCGTAAAGAAATAAACCGAAATCGAACCGACCCGTGACTAATCAAAACCGAAACGAACCGACCCGTCAGCTAAATAAAACTGTTTCAACCCGAATCGCTTCAAACCGAGGTCAAACCGAACCGCCTGACCGAAGTCCCACCCCTATGAGCATATAGCTCCAACTATTTATAAATTGCAAGCAAGTCCTTTTATACTACCATTGTGGATGCTCTTGAGTTAATCAGTCAGTATTACAGGGGTATTCGTATAAGGTATAGGGATTTCTTTGTTATACTCCCTCGGTCCCTTTTTTTTTGCCTGATTTGACTTTGTACGATTTTCAAGATGCTATCTTAAAACGTATATAATTTTATTTCCTTACACGATAAAATTATAAAAACATGATATTAATAAAATATATAATGAGACGAACCTAAAAGATCCCACATGACTCCATTATGAATATCTTATAAATTAGATGGCAATGGGGCAAAAATAATAGGATGGAAGTAGTAGCTGTTATAATCGTGGATTTTATATAAGAGTAGATCTGACGGTTGAAAATTATATGCGGGACATTAATCGATTATATTGTCCACGACGTCCAGTCGTCCTCCTATGCTTTAATTGTTTTGAAGCTGTTCACTTATAGTCTTATACGCTGCACCTAGAGGTGTCCACCGTGCGAGTCGTGCGAGCTGGGTTAGGGTTAGGTGGGTCGCGGGTTGGGGTTTCATGACACACGGCACGACACACGTAGGGTAGGGTGGGCCGGGTCGTGGGTTGGGTCGGAGAAGTTGGACACACCAGGGTTAGGTTCGTGGGTTAGACGAGTCGTGGGTGGGTCGAGCTGGGTTTGTGGGTTAGACGGATCGTGGGTGGGTCGAGCTGGGTTTGTGGGTTAGACGGGTCATGGGTGGGTCGAGCTAGGTTCGTGGGTTAGACGGGTCAAGGTGGGTTAGTGAGTTAGGGTGGGTCGAAGGGTGGGTTAGTGGGTTAGGGTCTGGTGGGTTTGTGGGTTAGGGTCGGGTGGGTTAGTGGGTTAGGGTCGGGTGGGTTTGTGGGTTAGGTGGGTTAGGGTCGGGTGGGTTTGTGGGTTAGGGTCGGGTGGGTTCGTGGGTTAGGGTCGGGTGGGTTGTGTGGTGTTTTAATTTTTACAAAATTAACAATTTGATGGCTTGCTCTTAATTAAGATGCCTACGTATCCTTATATTATAAAATAAGGAATCAAAGCCAGCGTAGTTCTTATAATGTACTTCTTTTGAAATTTGGGGGGGGGGGGGGCTTGGACCTATCTTTAGAAAACTAAAATTTAATTTTGCAATTAAATTGTAATTTTCGAAAAATAAGTTGCCTACGTATCCCGAAAGAATCAAAGCCCACGTAGTTCTTAGCGTACCTGATTTAGACTTTTCTAGCCACCCATGTTTGTTGCATCATCATCCCCGGAAGCTGCATCATCCGTTGACGACTCCAATATCATCACAGGATCATCTTCATCGTCTTCGTCTTCCTTTAAACCTTGAGTTCTTCTTTCAGCTTGATCCCAATCTTTCTTACAAACACAAATTTGAATGCTTTCCGGAGTTAAGCGAGATCTTTTTTCATCTAACACTCTTCTACCTGCACTAAAAGCAGACTCGGAAGCAACAGATGAAGCGGGAACTGCAAGTATATCTTTTGCAATTCTCGCCAATATAGGAAAACTTTTTTTATGTTCTTGCCACCATTTTATAATTTGAAAGTTGTTGTTGGTCTCATGTTGATATGACAAATAATCATTAATAGCAAGTGTTGAAGAAGATGATGATGAGAATGATGTAGATGCTTTGTGTTTTTTTTTCATAACTTTATCAAGAAAACCAAATCTAGAATCGGAAGTGCTAGTAGTAGTTGGTGTTGCCAAATCAAAACCATAAATAGATGCATAATGATCATAAAGGTCTCCCAAAACAGATTTGCATTTGTTAATATATTCACTAACATCATAATCGATACTTAAACTTGTATAATAAAATTCTAAAAGATTTTCCAAACCTTCAGCTTTGACACCGGGGTCAAGAATAGCAGCAATTCCATAAATGATTGGAAATTCACTAAAATAAGTATGCCACTTACGTTTCATGCTATCAAGAACGGGACGAAGTCCATCAATCTTCATATGCTCTTCGATGGTGTGAACAACTTTAACACACTCAATTATGACTAAATGAACGTTAGGCTCATAAATATAAGAGAAAATATGAGTTGCACTATCAAAAGCATTTAAAACATCACGAACAAAAGAAGCATTAGTCCAATGACTTTCGGTTATTAACTCAGTAGGATCAACACGAGTCTCATTGTAAAGTTGGGTCAAAATATCACGATACTTTATAGCATCACTCAACAACTTGAAAGTAGAATTCCAACGGGTAGGGGTATCAATAGACCATTGTCTTTTCTTAAGACCTCTCTCTTTACACATAGCTATGTACTTTCTTCTAACTGACTGAGTAATCCTAATCCATTTTATAACTGTTCTAATTGGGTTTAGCAATGGTTGCAACTCAGCGAGACCCTCTTGAACAGACAAATTCAAAATATGAGCACAACATCTAACATGCAAGAGACTACCACCCAACAACAAATTCAACTCGGAGTCATTTTTCAAATAGTCAATACACTTTGTGTTTGCAGTTGCATTATCAAGAGACAAAGAAAAAACTTTATTATTCAAGTGAAATTCTTTTAAACAATCCAAAATACGAACTTTGATGTTAAAACCGGTATGCCTTTCTTCCATAGCTTGAAAACATAGTATACGTTTTTGAATAAACCAATCATCATCCACCCAATGAGCAGTAATGCAAAGAAAAGGTTCGCCAAAACTAGAAGTCCATGTATCACTTGTAAAACTAACACGACCATCAAAAGTACGAAATAATTCAATCAAACCACTCCTATACTTATAATAAGAAGTTTGTGTATAACGTCTTAGGGTATTTCGGGGGACACGAGTAAATGCAGGTTGTAATGCAACTTTATTAAAATGCTCAACGTTTGCCTTTTCACCGTAACTAAAAGGGTATTCATTAGCAATAACTAAAGTACTCATTTCATCAATCATTCTATCTTTATTATAAATGAAAGGTGTACCTCCGCCGGGTTGGTTCATGTATCCACCCAATTGTGTTTGGACGCCACCCCCCGAAGGACGGGGGCCATTTTCGAACAAGTCGTGTTTATTTTGCAAATGCCGACTCAAGGTTCCGGTTCCATCTCCCGTTTTCCAATTATATGACTTGACATTTGCACCTAGCGCCTTGCAAACTAGGCATGTACACGTGAACCTCTTTGGTTGACCAGGTTGCCATCCCGGGGGTGTGACCTCAACTCGTTCAAAATGTTTCCACACCCAAGAAAAATGTGCTCGACCTCTACTTTCACCGCCACCACCTTTCATAAATCAAATTATTAAAATTAATTTTTAAATGCTATTCATGAAAATAAGCTTTTAAATTTTTAATATTTTAATTATACTTATTTAAACGCATTTTTCATGGTAATTAACTAATTGTAAATCATAGAAAATTGGAAACTAAACTAACTTTATAATCATTAATAATAGTTTTTTTAAATATTCATAACAATAAAAATTTAATTAAAAATTACCTTGAGATGAAGGTTGAGATGTTGGTTGCGATGGAGGTGGCATAGTTGAACTTGATGATTGGTGGGACTCGTGGGAGAAATGTTGTGGTGGAGACGTTTGAATATTTTGCCTATCTCCTAAACCATAATCTCCATATTCATTGACAAATTGGTTTAAATTTTCCGTATTAATTTCATACAAAAAATTTGCACCACCACTCCTTTGGCTACCACTTCGACCACCACTTTGACTCCTTCCCATTCCTCCTCTTGAGCTCATTTTTTTTTTGTATGATTACTAATTATAATATGGAGAAGAACTTTTTTTTTTTTAGAATCTTAAGAATACTAATAATAATATTAAGGAGATTTTTTTTAACAAAAATATAACTCTATATAACACTTGAGAATTTGAGAACAATAAGAATTTTTAAGTAAGAGAGAAAGAAAGCTTGAATTTGTGTGGAAATTTAAGTGAAATGGAATTGGTATTTATAGGAAAAATAGAATGGATGATCATACACTTAAAAAACTAGCCGTTAAATACAAAAAACTAGCCGTTAGATACAAAAAACTAGCCGTTTTTTTTTTAAAATGGATGTTAGGCCGTGCGGGCCGTGCGGGTCGTGCGAATTGTGCGGGCTGTGCGGGCCGTGCGGGTTGTGCGGGCCGTGCGGGTTGTGCCGGCCGTGCGGGTTGGGTGGGTCATGCGTGCAGGTTGGGTGGGTCATGCGTGCGGGTTAGGTGGGTTGGCTCGTGCGGGTTGGGTGGGTCATTCGTGCGGGTGGGCCGTGCGGGCTGGGTTGTGCCAGGTGGGTCGGGTTAGGTGGGTTCACGGGCTAGGTGTGTCGAATTAAATGAGTCAAAACGGGTTGTGCGATTTGGGTCGAATCAAACGGGTTAAACTGAGCTGGGTTGAAATGGGTTGTGTCGAAAATTTTGGACCCACGACACAACCCGGATTAAATCCGAGCTGTGCCGGGCTGTGCCGGATTGAAACCGGGTCGGACCCACGTGACCCACCAGCCGTGCGAGTTAGGGTGGGCTGGGTCCAACCCGGCCCACTGGCCACCTCTAGCTGCACCTCTCTGTCTCTCCCTTCCTCCTCCATTGAAGCCTACTCTGAGCACTCCATTGAAGCAGCTTTTGAGATTTCCTTCCTCCATTGAAGAAGCTCCTGAGGTAAGATGTTATTCTCTATTTTTTCAATCATTTAGTATATCAATTTCACAATCTAGGGTTTTGTTTTACGCTATTGTTAGTTTTATTGTCAGTTCAACCAATTTAGGGTTCTTCCAAGGTGAATTATTGAACTATTGATCATAATAAGTCATGAAAAATTATTACGAGCGATTTTGTTGCTAAAATTTTACTATAGTGATATTCTTAAGCGAGAAGAATATATGTGATTTTTCGAGCCTAATTTGACTATTAAGTCAAATTTGGTTGCTAAAGTGTTGCATTATTCGTGTTTGATCGAGTTCACAAGCTGAGCTGAGAAATGCTTGGGTATTGAGGCTCATTGAGCTCGAGCCGAGTCTACTCGAATTCGGGTTTGGCTCGAAGGTTTAGCACCCCCTAACCCCTCTTAAGAAGTTGATGATTAGCAAGTCCCCAATACCATTGATTCAATTTGATTGATTATACAGCCTAATTGCAAGTTTTTGTTTATAATTATCTAATGCTATTATGGATTAATGAAAGTGGGCTAACCTATATTTTCACCCCAAGTTTAATTAATGTTAGGCTTAGAATATATTTTTGACACTGAAGTTGTGTGATTGGTTGAGGTAGATAGAAGGAGAAAATGAAGCCAGTGGTGGGGGCGGTGGTCTCAAACAAGATGCAGAAATCGGTAGTGGTGGCAGTTGACCGTCTTTTCCATCATAAGCTCTTCAATCGGTATGTTAAAAGAACTAGCAAATTCATGGCCCATGATGAGCAAAACGAGTGCAACATTGGTGACCGGGTGATTCGCTTATCTCATACAAGTGTTGTCTTACAGCATTGTTTGTTCTCTTAAACTTGTGCTTATTTATTAGTTATGCTTTGTTTAAGGTGCATTTAGGATTAAGAGATTAAGACTAGAAGGGTTTCTTCCCCGTTGCTTTTTTGGGTCCTCTTTTGTTATGTTGTAATACTGTCTTTTAAACTTACTTGTGGATCCTGCTTGTTATGCAGTGAAAACACTCTTTGTGCTTTTTTCCCCATAACTCCTGCAGCCTTGTATGGCCCTTGCAATGTGTAAGGGTCAATATGTTGTTCAGATTGAATTTTGCATTAATTGGGTTTCAAACATGTCTTATTGAACATAATCTACCTTTGTCGTGATTGTGCTTTATATTAATTGGGGTTCAAGCATTTTCTTATTGATCATAATCTATCTTAGTCGTGAATAGTCAGCTTATCTTCCAAATGAGTATTGGTAACTCAAAGATCTATAAACCATGGAAGTTTTTCTCTTGGACATTATCTTCTTTTAATCTGTTAGTATGAAATTCTGATGATTTATGAGTACCTATGCAAGGTTATATTTGTAACTGCCTTTGTGTGTGTTAAATAACAAGCTGGACATTTGAAATTTCCTGGTGAAACTATTGTGATTTGTGAATTGGAATTAGGATGTTGATAGTTTTGTAATAAAAAACACTTTTCATCTATAATTTGCTGAAATAATGAATAGAGTTTGCAAAGCAGTCTTTCTGCTTGTCTAGATTGGCCTCTAATGTTAGGCTCAGCTAGACCTCCCAAGAGTCATTGTCAACAGCAGAATCATTACAGGGTGTTGTTTTTAGCTGGGTCTGGAAATGCTTGGAATGGCCGTTTCTTTATTTCCTTTATGACTGGCAAGGTGAAATCCTTTTGTTCTACTATGATTATGCTTTTTTATGTACTTCTTATGTTTTCTTTTGATGTACCTTGTTTCTAGGAGAGGTGAGTGAGTGAGTGTAGGGGAAAGGTGAAAAATTTAGGGAGGAAGGTGAGATGGTGGGTGTAAGAAAAAGGTGGAAAAGGTTAGAGAGAAGATGTAGAACGGTGTAAATAATGTGGAATTGGGGTAAGATGGTAAAATTTATTTGCCAATAAGAAGAATATATTTTAAAGTAGGTACATCAAGTTAAAACACCTCAAAATAGAAAGTGGGTGCATTAATATAATTCAGGGGGAGTATGCTACAAGTATATCCTCAGCCAACTTTTTCTTTTTTCTCCTATTGAAGCTTCTTATTTCATCTTAAAATGAAACCTTTTTAAGGCATTGTATGGTACTTATGATCTATTGTCATAATATCTGAAACTTACTATGATGAGCATAATTGTATTTTTCAAGTTAATAGCATGCCTTTGAAATCATAGATGCTCTATTGTAATTCCCCGTTCTCATCTAAAACTGCCTTTTCTTCCCCTTTTACCATACTGCATTGGTTGGGGTACTGTGCATTGATACTCTATTTGAAATTGTCTTGACGTGTAGGTTCGACTGGATCCCTCAAGGCCGCTCAGTAAGCGAAAAAATTGGACTGTAGCTGAGATTTTGAAGAAAGCACGGATATATACACCACCACCATCAGCAGGCAAATTTCCTCAATCAAACAGCAATACTGAAGCTTCCTCAATTCCTTCTGCATAAATCTTTTCAACCTTGTTTGTTTGGATCAGTGGTCTTGAGAGCATTTCTAGGCAATAGGGCTGTACTTGGAAGTCACAAAGAAGCAGATTGTGCTCTCTATATTTTTATTCCTTAGAGAAGTGCCTTTAATTCTTTCAGCAGCAGACTAGGTTTTTCAGTCTTTGATCCAATTTTAGTAGTTCAACCTTGCCTATTATCTTTTGTGCTTTTAATGAATTTGTTTTGAGCTCACAAGTGCGATTTTCCGAATCTCTCTAGATATGAACAGAGCAACAACTATGTTGTATCAGAATAAATAATTAAGTTATCCTTAGATAAGGATTTGATTGTTTGTTTAGCTGGTAAGACAGAGCCAACTGCATAATCAAAGTCCTTATGCAGTCCCTTGTTTTATGATTATTAAAATTTCCTTAAATCATTTATATTAATAATTTCATTCTATTACGGCTCCCTCTATCCCTTTTTTATTATTTACATGTGGTATCATGCAATTGTATTAACGAATGGTTATAGTAGTTACATATATTTTATTAAAAAATTATAGATTTTGCTTTTATGATTACTTGATTAAATTAGATCCTTCGAGATGCAACAGAAGTATTGGATGAATAGAAATATAAGAACATTGATTTTTTTTTTATGGAAAAGTAGAGATGAAATTGGAATATTTGTACTTTATAAGAGAAAACGTTAAGAATGAAGGGGAACACCTTATACCGAATACATAAAGAATAAAAAGGAATGGAGGGGGTAATATATTTATATGTAGTGTATGATACTAAGTTGTTGATGGTAGCCTAGCATGTACTGAATTTGTGAATGACTTGAGAGGTGTAGTATAAGTGGGAGTTTCGGCGCAAGTAAAATACCTTTACTTTTAATGTTATTTTACTTTGTGAGTCGGGCAGTGGGACAATGCCCCTCCTTTTAGACCTAAGGTTCACTTTGCGGGTTGATATTGTTAGAGGGCATTATTAGGTTGGGGGGAGTTTTGGCTCCAGTGAATATTTAATTAAATCTCATTTGGGGTAAAACCATGTTTGATTCTAATTTTCAATATGAATACTGATTAGGGGATTTTGCTCCCACCAATCGGAATGCGCCACGTGGGCCAATCAGGTCCTGCCAAGTGCCCCCCAATTGGACCTCTTAGGGCTTGCCACGTGGCACACGCTTATTCGTCCACCCTGGACTTATTATGTCATGACACGTGGCATACTCCATGCCTAATGGAGAAGCCGGTCGCCTAGGCCCAACTTCCGAGGGAAGCCCAATCAGCCCAAGGTTAACCTAAACCTAGATTGGCGCGTTTCTCGAGGTTATAAATACCTCCCTTAATCCTCATTAAGGGAGGGAACGCAGATTACACACATTAAACACTCTCACCTAGAGAGACCCAATCACTTTAATTTCCGCATTAATTACTCCTTAATCAAGTACTAACTTGACCGTCGGAGGCGGATCTCCAATCATCCGGAGTATTCGTTTGTTTTGCAGGTACAGGCGTCCGGTTCCAGTCTCGGAATTGTAACTCTTCCGCAGGACATCAGAAAACCCCGAAACATTTTGGCGCCGTCTGCGGGGAGAGTACTTCTGAGATGGCACCCACGTTTGTACCGGCTCCTGAAGAGAGACGTCCCCTGGACGATCCTCTAGTTTAGTCGGACCACGATACTGAGAATGAATTTGAAGTTGAAGCTCACACAGCTTCAGACGGGACCCTAAGGGCCCGACGTACCCGTCATACCGAAAGGAGGGAACGGGAACGTCTTCAAACTGGAAGCGAGCCAGCAGGCGCACCGCCTGTTCGGCAGCAGCCGACTGATGGGTCTGCTCCCATCACAAGGAACGAACTCATGACCTTCATGAGGGACTTCAAGGGAGAAATTCAAGAGTTGATCAACAAGAAGCCGCCTGCTCTGGACAAGGAGCAGTCGGCTAAGAAACCCTCCACTTCACGGAAGAGGAAGTCAGTTCAAGGGCGAGAGGCGACCCCTCATCCTAAATCTAGGAAGTGGGAGCCACCTGCCCTTGATTTCACAAAATACCGTTTTTCTACTCCAGGAAATAGGAAACATGTTCGTCATATTCAGGCGGACGGGTCGAGGAAAACATACACAGACGCTCGGCTACTGCTAGAGCAGAAGAAGAGTGACCGATTGTCAAAGTCGGCCTCTACTTCAAACTTCCAAGACAGTCTGCGAAATACCTCGATGAGGCATACTCAGTCGTATCATGAGAGTCAGTCAGGCGGCACCTCCCGTCAGTCCGGCTTTCATAGCGACCAGGCGGTACCAAACTTACCGTTTGTACCGCAACAACATTATTTTTTACAGCCACCTCCGTTTGGTGGACATGCAGCAAAAAATGTCCAACCTATGGACTGGCAGCTACGGTTGCTTAGACTTGGTGAACAGCCGTCGGCCTTCTCCAAGGAAATTACTGAAGCCGCTTAGCCGGCCAAAGTGAAAAATGTATTAGTAGGCGCCTATGACGGCACTACTAACCCAGAAGACCATCTGATGGCATTCACCAACCTGATGTCCCTTCAAGGGTTGGATGATCCCACTTGGTGCAAGTGTTTCCCAGCGACTCTCAAAGGAATCGCACAACAATGGTTCGGTAACCCGCCGACTGGTTGTGTAAATAACTTCAAGACGCTTGCTTACTTATTCACCTCCAACTTCGCCATGAACATCCCTGCGAAGAAGACGACCCTTGATTTAGGAACAATTCAGCAGGGCGAGAAGGAGGGGCTTCGTTCTTACATCAGGCGATTTAACCTGATGAGAATACAGATTCAAGGGTTAGCGGATGAAGTAGCCTATACTGACTTTTTCAGAGGTCTCAAAGACGGGTCGACCTTCAAATTTGATTTGGTCCGAAAGAGGGTGGCGACTCTTCAAGAGGCCTTGATTGAAGCGGAAGCCTATATACAGGCGACTAATCTTTGTAGTACGGTAAAACAGTCAGACGGGAAAAGGTTCGACAAAAGAGAAGGACGACAGAAGCAGTCGTCAAACAAAGACGAGAAGAGAAAAGAGGTCTGGGCAACTGATTCCTCTAAACGGCCGTCCCAGAAGAAGAAAAAAGAATTCAAACCATACTCCCCAAAGTATGTGTTTAACAAGGATAGCCAATTTATCCTAAAGGAAATCAAGGGACGGATCTCAATTGAGAAGCCGGTCCCCATGAAGGGTTCTGCAAACAATCGGAACCAAGAAAAATTCTGTGATTATCATGAAGATGTTGGTCATCACACCAATGAATGCATCACTCTCATGCGGTATCTGGACCGCCTGGCTGAGCAAGGTGACCTTAACACTTATGTCAAGAAATCTACGGGGAACACTTCCTCGAAAAAGCAGTCGACCAAAAAGAATCAGCAGGCCGACAGCTCCGATACAGATGATGCAGTCGTCTACACCATTGCAGGCGGCTTCTCAGGAGGCGGCCCCACTATTAGGGGCAACAAAGACAATATCAGACGGTTAGATGTAAATTCCGTTCACCAAGAACGGCCCTCCAAATATTCATTTCCTGAGATTGTCATCACTGAAGAAGATCTAGGAGGGGTAAGAGGGCCGCATGACGACCCTATCGTTATTGAATGTAAAGTGGCCAACCAGAGAGTTGGCCGAATCCTCATAGATACCGGAAGCTCCTCAGATCTCATCAGTAGCAAATGTCTGTCGAAACTAAAATATCAGACTGATTGCATACATCCGGCATCCCACCCTTTAGTAGGGTTTGGAGGAGGAGTCGTCCACCCAGTGGGACGAGTGGATTTACCCATCCGCCTGGGCGAAAAAGGGGAAGGACGACACATGGTAGTCCGGTTCCTGGTAGTAGAAGAACTCTCGGCCTACAACATGATTCTGGGACGACCAACCCTAAATAATTCCAAGGCTGTTATAATCCCATCTCTTATGTTGCTCAAGTTTGAGAGGGATAATGGAACATTCGGGTCCCTAAGGGGAGATCAGAGGATGGCCCGAGAGTGCTATCTCTCGGATGTCAAGCCCACTGTTATGGCCACTATGTCGAGCGGTGGAAAAATAGACCCTGACAATGTCAAGGAGAGTGCGCCTGTTCAAGAAGCAGGCGACAAGAAGAGAAAGGCATCCCAGACAGGGGCCGCAAGAAAAGACAGAAAATAGCAATCATTGGCAGAGGAGCAGTCGGATGAAATCCGCCCTCAGCCATCTGGTGAGCATACGGACCTGATCTTAGATGACTCGCGTTCTGACAGAACAATCAAGGTTGGGACGACTGCTCTAAGGGACTTGGGTGACGACTTTCACAAACTATTGAAAGAATACAAGGACATCTTTGCATTCGAAGTCCATGAAATGCCAGACATTAGTCCTGATCTGGCGGTACATAAACTGGCCGTGGATCCGAAAAAGAAGCCGGTACGGCAGAAGAAGCGGAACCATGGCGAAGAAAGAAGTCAGGCGGCAGCCGCCAAAGTTAAAAAATTACTTGATGCAGGGTTCCTTCGGCAATGTTACTTCCCAGACTGGGTTGCAAATGTGGTGCTTGTTAAAAAGCCGAATGGCACCTGGCGAATGTGTGTAGACTACACAGACTTAAACAAGGCGTGCCCCAAAGACAGTTACCCTCTGCCTAAAATTGATAACCTGGTCGACTCAACAGCCGGCCATGCTTTGATGAGCTTTATGGACGCCTACTCTGATTTCCATCAAATTCCTTTATGGAAGAAAGATCAGGAGAAGACGGCCTTCGTCACTGATCAGGGGTTATACTGTTACACGGTCATGCCGTTTGGTCTTAAGAATGCCCAGGCCACTTTCCAGCGAATGATAAACACTGTGTTCTTTGATCAGATTGGGAGAAATGTCGAGGCATATATTGATGATATGATTGTCAAGTCTAAACTTCAGAGAGATCATCTGTCGGACCTCCGAGAAACTTTCGCCACACTCAGGTGACACCATGTCATGCTCAATCCCAGGAAATGTTTCTTTGGAGTTGAGTCTGGGAAATTTCTCGGATTCCTTATCAATCAGAGAGGAATAAAGGCGAACCCTGAGAAGGTGCAGGCGGTCATCGACATGCAGTCGCCTCGTACCATCCGAGAGGTTCAGAAGTTAACAGGTTGTCTGGCGGCCTTGGGAAGATTTCTAAGCCGATCAGGCGACAAATGCCTATACTTTTTCTAGGCAATTAAGAAAAAGGCAAGGTTTGAATGGGGGCCGGATGCTGAGGCGGCCTTCCAGAAATTGAAAGTTCACTTGCATTCCTTGTCGAGGCTGGTCAGCCCTTTGCCCAAAGAAGTACTCTACATGTACCTGGCCATCTCTGATCATGCGTTAAGCGCTGTTCTCCTTGCTGAAAGAGACGGTTGTCAGCTCCC